ACTAAATATGATCAAAAGAACAGGCCTAGAGATATGAACAAATTGTATACAGGAGGGAAAAAGCAATGTGCCCATAATCATGTAAAAAGACAGCAACCTCACTCATACAAATGCACAGAAAAACTAACTGAGCTACAATGTCTTATCTATTAAAGTGACAAAGCCCCCTAAGTTTAACAATATACTGTGTTGGCAAGGATGTGGAAAAATAGGCACTCTCATACACTGCTGGTGAAAATGCAAAATGTACAAGGCCTGAGGAGAGGAATTGGGCAATACTGAGCAAAATTACACTTGCATTCAGGCTTTGGCCTAGCCATCCCACTTTTAAGAATCTACCTAAAGATAACACTGGCAAAAATGAAAAAATACGTGGATAAGATTATTTGTGTAGCAAAAGTCTAGAAACAATCCCAATGGCCATTAATAGGAGACCAGTTTAACAAACTATAACATATCCACACAACTGAGCACCACACAAATGTAGCTATAAAAAAGAATGAAGAACTTATCTATATACTGCTTTGAAATGATCCCTGGAATACGTTAAGTAAAAAGGTATAGAACAAAGGGTATAGTATGTGTGTATACTTTTTTTTAATGAAAAGATGAAACAAAAAACTAATAAAATGAGTATCTATAGGAGGACAAAGGGAACAGAGTAAAGGGGGCAGAGATGAAAATTAGACTTCTTAAATGTAACTTTTGTAGATTTGCCATTGGAATCATGTAAACTCCTTACCTAAATATAAGACAAGACAAAATTTAACTGAAATGAAAAAAAAAAAGAGAATTTATCACAAAAGCAAAATGAAACATATGAACCTTTAAAACAAAGCAATCTAGGGGTGCCTGGGTGGTTCATTCAGTCTGTTAAGTATCTGACTCTTGATTTCAGCTCAGGTCATGATCCCAGGGTCCTGGGACTGAATCCTGCATTGGGCTCCCTGCTCAGCGGGGAGCCTGCTTCTCCCTCTACCCTTCCTCCCAGCTTGTGCACTGCTCTCTCTCTCAAATAAATAAATAAAATCGTAAATATAAAATACCTGTTGATCCCCTTTGAAGAAACTAAGGAATACACTGAAAACTGATCATCAAAGGGAAATAAAGAGGCATTTACTCCACCTTTTCAGGGAAACCAAAGCCAAAGTTATTCTTTTTTTTTTTTAATTTTATTTTATTATGTTATGTTAGTCACCATACATTACATCATTAGTTTTTGATGTAGTGTTCCATGATTCATTGTTTTTGTATAACACCCAGTGCTCCATTCAATATGTGCCCTCCTTAATACCCATCACCAGGCTAACCCATCCCCCCCACCCCCCTCCCCTCTAAAAGAATTCCAGCTAAGAAATGTTAGAATATTATCGTTTTGCAATTCCTAATAAAATAATTGATGTAGGGAATGATTATCAGCAACGGGAAGCTGAGATACTCTATAATGGATGGATCGGGTTGGCACAGCTGATCGTAACCTCACAGCAATGAGAGATAACCAGATACTGTTCGGTCCCTGATGTGTACAGCGGGAAGAGTACATCATCACTTACGATGCATTCTTGCCCCCAAAACTGAACCTGAAGCCCTTCAAGCATGCAGTTCTAATTACTAGTTTACAGGGAACACAGGGACACATTTTAAACAACACCATAGGCATGCAATCAGCAAAATCCCCCAAAATGGGAAAACCTACAGAACAAAAAAACAGGTTTCTTCAATAAATAAAAATTGAAAGGGGGGAGGAGGAAATGGGAAATCTATAAGTTGAAGGAAATTTAGGAAAAAGATCAATGAAATACAATGTGTGGACATCTTTTGTATCCCAGTTCAAACAAACCAGTTGTAGAAAAAACATTGGTGAGACCATTGGCGAAATCTGGACATGACTGAATTTCAGTTATATTAGAGAATTAAGGAATTTCCATTAATTTTTAGGTGTGATAATGGTATTGTGGTTATAAGGTTAAAGCATATAGAATTGCTGATATTACACCATTTCAACTTAAAGAAATGACCACTTCATATGGTTCAATCTTATCTTTTTAAAAAGCATCCCCATCTTTTGGCGATCCATACAAAAGTATTTATGAACGAAGTTACATGACTTCTGGAATTTGCTTCAAACTAGTCCAATTGGTGAAAGGGAATGGAGGTAGGGAGGAAACAAGATTTGCCATGCGTTGATAATTGTTGAAGCTGGGTAACAGATATGTGGGGGCTTGTTATACCATTCTCCCAATTATATATAGATTTTTGAAATACTTGTGTATATCATTTTAAGGTCTTAAACTATTATATGTGTGGAAATGTTATGTTAAAAAAATGCCTGAGGCTACAGTTAAGGGATTCCAGAGTTGTTTTGAGCAATTGCAAGCAGCTGGTGTCCACTGCGAAGAGCAATGCTCAGTTGAAAATATAATTGCTGATATGTGTGTGTGTGTGTGTGTGTATGTGACTACATGTATGTTTAAATCACCTTCTCATGTAAGTTTTCATTACATTTCCCTCTGATTCTTTTGCTTGTGGCTGTGGGATTTGGGGGTTCTAACAAGAGTCAGTGTTTGAATTTTGAATTCCCGTGCAAAAGAAAAAAAATAAACTAATCGGCTTGGGCACACTCTCCCTGGGTCTCTTCGTTAACGTTTTTGGCAGTTTCAATTTAAATGATCCCTCTTCTCTAAGTTCACTGGGTGTTTTCTGTAGCCTTACGTAATGGCTAGAAGCCCCCATCTCTACAAAGGAACACCTGATTCAGAAAAACAAACATCATAACAGAAACCCATTCATCAGCTGCCCAGACTCACAACCAACCAGACATGTGGCGACTTTATTTGAAAAGAGAGAGAGAGGCAGACTGAGAGAACAAGTGGGAGGAGGGGCAGAGGGAGAAGCGGACTCCCTGCTGAGCAGGGAGCCCCATGTGGGGCTCCATCCCAGGACCCTAGGATCAAGACCTGAGCCCAAGGCAGATGCTTAACCAACAGAGCCACCCAGGTGCCCATGGGCAACCTTTTAAACACTCTCAGCAACGGCGTCACAGGCTGTGGGGGAAACTGAGTTAAGGGAAGGTGAGCAAAGCTCCGAGAAACCCAGGAAACTGACTATTCCTCACACCTTCTGGAAGCAGCTCCACACTCTTAGAAGAGTTGCCAGCTGGGAAATGCATTTCTGGAGGCAATGTTCCCAGCACTGAATCAACGTGACCTGTGCTGAAGGGATGGAAGAGTCCCAATTCCTGGAAGCCCGAGGCAAAGAGAGCTCCCCAGAGAACCGGGCACCTTACTCCGGGTGGTGCCAGGATACTGTGCTTCCCAGACCCCACTCCACTCAGGAGCATGATTTGCATAATAAAATATCTAATGCCTTAATGACCTAATGTTATCAGAGATACTTTCACAACCTTCAAAAATTGCCCTCAAGGTGAGAAATGCTCTTAGTCCCATTTATTTGCTCATCCCACCAATATTGCTAAGGGCTTGGTATGTGCTAAGCTCTTTAGAGGTGCATTTGAGGGCTGGGACTCGTAACTGCAAGCCCTGTTCTTTTCTCTCTTCCACGCTGCCTTGAGGGTTAAAGACCGCGGTTCTTAAACCTGGCCGAGCCTCTGCATCACCTAGGACAGGAATCGGTGTTGGCACAGGGCCACGGCCAGTCATTTCTGTATCACCCTTGGCTGCTTTGGTACTAAAAACATCAAGTTGAGTAGCTGCAACAAAGATCACATGGCCCACAAAGCCTAAAATGTTTACCATCTGGCCCTTTACAGCAAAGGTTTGCCAGCCTGTGATTTAGGACCCGCTTCTCTGAGAGGTCCCTGGGCCAGCAGCATCAGCATCACCTGGGACCTGGGTGGCTCAGTCGGTTGGGTGTCTGCCTTCGGCTCGGGTCGTGGTCCCAGGGTCCTGGGATCCAGCCCCATATCAGGCTCTCTGCTCAGTGGGGAGCCTGCTTCTCCCTCTCCCTCTGCCTGCTGCTCTGCCTACTTGTGCTCTCTCTCTCTCTCTGTCAAATAAATAAACAAAATCGAAAGAAAGAAAGGAGAGAGAGAGAAAGAAGAAAGAAAGAAAGAAAGAAAGAAAGAAAGAAAGAAAGAAAGAAAGAAAGAAAGAAAGAAAGAAAGGAAAGAAACTGCAGAATCCTAAGCCCCATCCCAGACCCAGAGAATTCCACTCTGCCCTGACCTAGAGAACTTGTCAAACCTGCAGCCTTTCTGGCCCCTATAGAAGCCCTGGGGTGGGGCCTTTTGTTTACATTGCCCAAATGAATCTGATGTGTAGCCTTAGGGAAGCTGACTGAGAAATCAGGAGTATGGGCCCTCCCAGGATCTCCCTACAGGACAGGCACCAGATCCTCAAGAGGCCAGGAGAGGTGACCACTGAAGGCTCATAGCTGAGCGCCTCTCTAAGAATTGCCCTCCGTCGAAGGAAGTGATCCCACCCAAGATCCCTTCCCCTTGCTGGGGGCAGCCTGTGGCTAAAACTTGGCTGGTAGAGGGTGAAAACGCCTCTCATTACAATATCTGAAGGGCCATCCCTGCTCCCTTAGCCCAGTCCCGCCCTCCTCACCCCTCACACGTGTTGGTCCCTAAAGCTCGCCCCAGTAAAAGCCCACCTCAGTCTATTTCCTGACAGTCTGTAAGAGTATATGGCGTGATAGTAGACATGACATGGCCATAAATAAGAAAATGCAAACCAGAATAAGCGTGCTAGGTGTGTGTTAGAAGGGAACACAGGACTGAGGTGGGCACACAGGAGCTGTGGGGCTTTCAGTGGGGGTGGGGGTGGGGCAACAGGATAAGGTGCTTCAGGCAAAGGGCAAACCCTGCGTCAGGCTAAGTGGAGAGGACCTGCAGACAGCTAGTGGAAGGGAAGGCTGAAGAGAAAGCCTTAAATGCCAGGCTAAGACATTTGCATTCAGTTGGCAAAGAAAAATCATGAAAGGCTCTGAGCAGGAGAGTAACACAATAATGATCCCAGTTATGCCTCAGGAATATTCACCTGGCAATGGTATGAAAGATACTGGAGCGGCACGGACTGGGGTCGGGGGACAGGTCACAAAGCTGTTGCAGACGTCGAGCTGCAAGGCAATGAGGCCCAGAGCTAGTGATCGGTTAGGCGGCTGGCATGAAGGAAAGAGCACAGGGCTCAGAATGAAGACAGAGCCGGGTTCCAGAGCCCCCTCAGCCACTTACAACTTTCAAGCTCTGGCGCAGGCCACCTGGCCTCCCTGACTTCTCCCACCTGTAAAACGGGGATAACAGAATTAGGTAATACAGATTCCATGCGGGGCCCACACTGGGCACTCGGCTAAGGGAAACCACGCTCGGGAGCCAGTGGCTGGGTTTATCTGCATTTGCACACACACCACTTATCACCCCAGCCAAGCAAACCTGAGCCTGGCTGCGCCGGAGACGGTCCCTGAAAAGCGATTCTCACACGTCGCAATTTAATGAGGCCTCGGTTTCATGCTTCAACTTGAACCGTCCCCCTTATGAAGGGTGCGCAGGCAATTGGCACTTCCATTGTAGCTGCCGCTGTGCCCTGTTGTTATGACGACCGGTTTCCCAAACAGCCCTGCTATTTTCTTCAAAGCCTTTCAGTTTCCTCCTGCCCTCAAGTCCATAAGCCCAAGAGACAATAGCGGGGTGGTTTTTTTAGATTTCCGCAGGAAATACTGTCAAGGCTTTAAATGAGCTGACTAGCTGTCTTGCTTCTCCACCAGAAGCCCCCAGCCTGAGCATCCGTGTGACCCTGCACAGCAGACCTCCACAAACGTTCCTGCCCACTGGAAATTGGTGCCACTGAGTAGCAGGGGGCACATCAGTTTCCGGCTGGCATTAACTTTGCAGGAAAATGAAGCAGAAAACAAAGGAATGCCCACTGCACATCTCGTGTACACCACACAGGGTCTGACGTTAAAAGACTATTCCAAAAGATTTAAGTTTAAGCTATTGTATTATTTCTCAAATCAGTTCAATATTAGCACATGTAACTTTCCCAACAAATATCAACCTTTGTGAACTCACTTAACACAAGGTAATACTAAAAACAGTTTTATTATTATTATTATTACTAGTGTAAATTCTTCATACCAATAATTATGTTGCTCTGGTGTCTAGTAGACCTCCCTCTCCTCGTTTTCCTTTCCCCTTCTCCTTCCTTTCTTTCCTCCTTCCCTTTCTCCTACTAATCTTCTCTCCCCTCTGACGTAGCCTTAGGATGAAAGGTGTAGTTACCCTGCTGCAGCCTACCCAATATCCGTTCTCCCCCTTTTTTCTTTGCCAAAAGGACCACGAGACTTTTAGGGTGGTGTGCGCCCAACTAAAAGTCCCGATCTCCTAGACTATCTTGCAGCCAGGGATGGCCATGTAACACAGTTCTGGCCAATGAGACTCAAGCAAAGCTTACTGGCTTCTGAGAAAGCTATCATTTTGCAGATAAAAAGGAACAGACTCGGGTAGAATGCGCCTTTCCCCCTTCTGCCTATCTAAAGTAAGATGCAACAATACCTTGCAACTATGAGGATGAAATCCACACACCACGGATGGCAAAGCAATCAACTCGGGTCCTTGACAGCATTCCCGAGCAGTGCAGCTGCTTCCCTCCAGACTCTCTGTGAAGCACAGAAGCTAAAGCCTCTACTTGCTATCCCACGTTCCCCTGGTTTCTGTTCCTGCCACCAAAAGCAGTTCCTTACTGATACAGAAGATGAGGAGGGTTCCCTCCATTCAACAAATATTCTTTGAGTGCCTAGTCTGTGCTGAGCACCATGCTAAGTACTTGGGCGACAGTATCGAATATGACCCGCAGCCCTTCATCTCCTAGAGTGAAGGAGTAAAGACATAAACAGTAAATGAACAAGACAATGACAGGCTCAGTGATCAGAAGAAAAAAAATAATCCGATGGTAACTGGGGAAGGCTGGTCTCTCTGAGGAGGTGCCATCTGAACTGAGAGCTGAAGGGTGAGGTGGAGTCAACGAGGGGGAAGGGGGAGGGGCCACATTCCAGCAGGTGCCCCAGGAAAGTGGAGGAAGCCAGCGTGGCTGGAACACTGTGAGCCAGAGAAAGAGAGAGCAGGATAAGCAAAGCTGGAGAAGCAGCGGGACCAGGCTATGCAGGTCAAGGAAAGGGGTTGTGTGGGGTTTTATTCTATATATAATAGATTTGGAAGCTACCGGAGGCCATTAAACAAGAGAGGGACAAGAGCTGATAAATGTTTTTAAAAGATTTTTCTCCCTCTAACATGAAGATGACTTGTCAAAGGCAAGAACAGAAGCAGGCTATTGCTGAGGTTCAAGTAAAACATGACGGTGGCCTGGGCTCAGGGAGGACCAATGGAGACGCAGAGTAGCCCTCACCCTGTGGATGGTACTGCCTGTGATGTCCTCACCTATGAACAACCTCATCAGTGCACTTAGAATCCAACCAGGCAGAGATGAGGACAGGGTAGCTAAGATGTTTTTTAAATGCTGAGGTGCCCAGAACATACAACAGGTGATTGGAGGGAAAGATGGGAGAATTCATAGCAAGTCTTTGATTTTTTTTTTATTTAGTATTCAGAGGGAAAGAACAGCAAAGTGTTGGGAGCTATTACATGGGGACTGTCACAGCATGTTAATAAGGAATTAATAGAATTGCCAAGAAGTGGTAAGAACACTGAGGTTCTCAAGAATAAACTGCCATTGGGTGCAATCACCAATACCCATGAGTTGCTCCAGCAATACCAGGCAACTCAGAACCAGGGATGTAAGGAGCACAGGGGAAGAGTACCCCAGGTTTGACACTGAGCCCAGGGCAAGACTGAAGAGGTGAGGAGAACCTAGGTACCAGAATGGCAGCTCTGAGAGCCCACACACTTCATATTTGTGAACACATTCATTCTACAATGATTCCTATCCTACATTGTGGAAACAGAAACCTAGACAAGCTAAGAAACTTGCTCAAGGTCACAGAGGTGGTCAATGTCTGCTGTCAGAGACTAATTCCCTAACCACTGAACTATAATCTTCAAGCAAAACAATAAGGAAGATGATGATGATAAAGAAGAAAGCCCAGAAAGGTCCAGAGACTAGAGGTCATGATGGGTGTGAGAAGCTGGCTCATCAAAAGGGAAGGAAGCATATGAAATTATAAACCGACAGCAGGTCAGGCTGGGTGGTCCTGTGCGAAAGGATGTGTTACAGGCTGATGCAGCGGCTTGCAGGAGAAGCTCAACAGGCTCTGGGTTGGACTTTGGGGCTGAAGGGCATCTGGCCAGGAGCCACCCACTCAGTCTTGCCCAACTGCCCACTAAAATGCCTTATGAAGACAGAAAAAGACCAAGACTCACAATCACCCAAATGAAGACTAACAGAAAACCTAATCCCAGACTCTGGGAGAAATTGGCACTATTCATAAAGAAGATGGAGCTGGATTAAGAAAAATCTAAGGCTTCTGGTTTTGCTTCCTTATACAGACACCACATGGCAGGATGTAGGTAGACACTCTGTACTATTGCTCTGACACAGATCCAGAGCTGGAAGGGAATGGGGTTGTACCTGAAGCAGAACACTGAGCAGCCAGTCTACATGACCTCACGGGCATCTGAGGCTCAGACAGAGAGCTGGCCCCTACACCCCCCCCCACACACACACACCATAGACCATGTTGCTACAACCATAAAGCAACCATAAATCCCAGAAACAGCTGGGCAGAATATAAAACTCAGCCTGAGCCAACTGTGGGGGGTGACAGGGAGGTGACAGGGGGATATGATTATCGTAAACGGTGGAGTCACGATATGCATTTGCCTTATATGTTATTTACCTGAATTCAACTATATTTGCTTAGTATTGAAAGGAAAAAGGGGAGAAAAATCCCTTCACTTATCCAGGGACTTCCCTACCCCTCACCCCTTCCCCCGTTCAAACTAGCCTTTGGCTGCCATGACCTCCAAATAGTGTCCAAAACACAAAGAGAAACAGAACTACTTTTTTTCTCTTGGCCTTTGAGCTTCCAAGAAATTTGAGGAAGTTCTCCTATGTCCCCCAAACTTTAAACATAATCCCCACAGAAGATACCAGACGCCCCATTGGCACCTAGATGCAGGACCTGAAGGGTAAAACACCCAAATGCTGACAGAGGCGTTCTCTCTTTCTGCGCGCTTCTCTAACACTTTCTAAAGTTTCTTAAGCAACATCCTTGTATTTGAAACAAACAAACAAAAAAATTATTCTGCCCCGAGACTGCTCATTTTTAAGGAGGCCATCAGGTGACTGGGATGCGGGTGATTTTCGGGGCACTGTCTGCAGCCTGCTCAGGGCGCTCAGCAAGGCGGTGGGGTAGTGCTCGTCCCACAGGGTTGCCGGTGTCTGCTCAGGGACTCCTGTCCTCAGCCTTGTAAATGCTGGCAGGAGGCTCCCACTCCAAGTATTTTTTCAAAACCACTAAAGGCAGATGGGGTGGAGGAGGGCAATAACTCCGTGCTCAGCAGTTATGGCATGATGGCCACTGCCCTGGATTTAGAAACAAGACACCTGATTTCCGATGCGGGCTCTTCCACTCCCTCTGCCGGTGACCTTACTCGCTCTCCTCATCTCACTGAATCTCAGTTTCCTCATCCAGTAAATGGGGATCACGATGGCTTATGAGATTATTTTAGAGTTATGTAAACTAATGTCCGAAAGAAAAATTCTCACATACATTAGATGCTCAATCAATGGTATTAGAATTTAAATGACAAGAGAATAGACCCAATCTCTGAAGGAAGTGTGAGGTAGTGACAATAGAAATTCATGATTTCCAAATGTTCACAATGTTAGTGCTCATAAAGACACTCATATTAGTTTTCCAGAGCTGCTGTAACAAAGGACCACAAACTGGTGGCCTAAGCAGGAGAAATCTATTGTCACACAGGTCTGAGACCAGGAATCTGAGATCGGGGTGGTTCCTTCTGGGGGCTGTGAGGGAGAATCTGTTTGAGGCCTCTTTCTTAGCTCCTGGTGGCTTGCTGACAATCTTGGATGTTCCTTGGCTTGGAGAAGCATCACCCTGACCTCTGCCTTCACCTTCACATGGGGTTCTCCCTGGGTGTCTATTTGTGTGTTCAAATTTCCCTTTTTATAAGGACGCCAGTCACATTGGATTAGGGCCCACATTAATGACCTCATTTTAACCTCTGTGAAGATCCTATCTCCAAAAAGGTCCCATTTGGATGTACTGGGGGTTAGGACTTCAACATAGAAATCTGGGGGGCAGACAA